TGTATTCTGCTACATGCCTTTGCTGAAAAAAAAAACCCAATATGTGTAAATAATTGGTTTTAGTGACTGTTATAGTGTCTAGTAATGGCAGTGATCAGCGACTTATTGCAGGACTGCGGGGCGGGCATTCTGACACTGGGGGGGGGGGGGTGGGCTGACTAACTGCCACTGACATCCCAATGACATTAATACAGTGATCAGTTCTAATAAAAAGAACTGACACTGTACTAATGACAATGGGCAGGAAGGGGTTAACATGTGGGGCAATCAAAGGGTTAACTGTGTGCGTGCTTTACTGTGTCAGCACATTACTTTGTATGGCTTTGCTATGCAGAGCCATACAAAGCAATGTGCAGGAACTGACAGGGGAGATATCTGTATGGTTTACATACAGGTCTGTCCTCCATCAGTGATACAGACCGATCTCCAGAATCACTGGCCAGAACACAGTGATCGACAACTGAGGCTGCCAATGGCGGGACAGCATGCCCCCTACCCGGAAATGGAAAATCACGTGTGTGTATATATATATATATATATATATATATATATATATATTATATATACGTGATTTTGCGCAGCCCTGCCACCCTGTAGCAGTATTTCTGCTATAGGGTGGCAGGAAAATGCACTTTTCAAAAAAAATAATAATGCACGTATTTTTGCAGAAATAAAATGTGCATATATGATTTTCTTTTTCCTGCGGGAGCCTAGAAAGCATTGCCACTGTGATCAGTGGGTGTAAGGCTGGCCATACATTATACAATTTTCTTGAGAATTTTGCTTTAGATTTACCAAAAACCATATATACTAGGAGGTCAATCCAAACAACATTTTCAGTTGTATCCAATTAGGCAGGCCCTTGCACTACAGAGGTAAATCTAAAGGAAATTGGGCAGAAATTGTAAGAAAATTGTATAGTGTATGGCCAGCCTAGGACTGACCATATACTATACAATTTTCTTGAGAATTTTTCTTTAGATTTACCAAAACCATATTATTTATTATTATTATACAGGATTTATATAGCGCCAACAGTTTGCTCAGCACTTTACAATATAAAGGGAGACAATACAGCAACAATACAGTTCAATACAAGAGGGATAGGATGGCCTGATCCTGGAAGCTTACAATCTAGGAGGGAGCAGGGGTGGACTGACCATTTGGAAACTCGGGCACTGCCCGAGGGCCCGGGGTCAGTAGGGGGCCCCATGAGATGCCCCTGGTAACCTTTTTCATAGGCTTTTTTGAGTTTGGGCAAGGACACAGGGGCCCTATGATCCCCTATTGCCTGGGGGCCCATGAGTTGTCAGTCCACCCCTGGGAGGGAGATATGAGGTCAAACCTAAACAACACTTTCAATTGTATCCATATAGGCAAGCCTAAAGGAAATTGGCCAGAAAATTGTATAGTGTATTGCCAGCATTATGCAGGTCATAGACAGGTTGAAAAACCGGACGTTTTTTGAAAAAAAAAATGAAAAATCGGTCGTTCAATAGGTTGACGTTACCACCAACAGTAAAAAGAAAAAAAAAAATCGTCCCGTCTACGGCCAGCATTTAATTACTTCTGTCCCTGCAGAGAGCTCCGCTATTACAGTATATTTGACATGAAAAAGTATTGCGGTTGCAACAATGTATCTATTTGTATCCGTTTCGGATACAGATGTTTTTATTTGGATACAAATACATACAATGTTGCAACTGCAATACTTTTAAATGTCAAATATAAATAGCGGACTGGAATTCTTCTTCTTTTTCTTCTTCTTTTTCTTTTCTTCTTTTTCTTCTTCTTGCAGGCCACGGCTCATGCGCAGATTTTTTTTTGGTAAAAAGATCGGTCGATTTGACCATCATTACCGGAAAATCGGCAGATTTTTTTTCCAACTTCACCGATAAAAAAAATAAGGCGACAAAACCCCGAAAAACATCCGACCAATTAACGGTGAGAAAATTGGCCGATTTTTTTTTTTTTCGGCCAAAAAATCGGCCGATTTTCGACCCGTCTATGGCCTGCATTAGGCTTCTGCAGACAAGCTCTGCAGCCTTGTGCTTGTACCTTCCCAGTGGCTGTCTGTTCTGAAAGCTGCAGGGCTTGTGAATGAACTACGAGAGCGCTCATCAGCACCCTCACAGTTCATTCAGAACTACAAAGCCGTCTGCCACGGTGGCTGACAGTACTTGTAGTTCACAAGAAATTGTAAATGAAATGACGTAGCTGTGTGGGCGAAGCCCCTGAATCCCATCCTGCTTTCCGTATATAAAACACTTTATTAAAATGCCAAATAAAAACGTACATTGATCAGTGTACTCCAATATAAATCACATAAACCGGCCAGAGAAACAGAATCTGAAGGTAACTTCTGCTGTATACTTACTTTCCTGCTTTCTTCTAGTAAATGTACACTGAGCTACACAGGCAGCTTAACTAGTTCAAGTCTTGGCTCCGTTCTCAGAAACATAAACAGTGCAATAGAGAGAAAAAAAACTTTTCCTAGTTCACCTGTGTCAGTATGATTCTATGAAAAAAGAAGATGGATACTTGTACTTCAATTGGAACAGTTTTTTCTTTTATATTAGCAGACCTAGGTAGCATTTCCAACCCACATGCCTGGTGGTCATTTCTGTAATGAATCGGAATTAGCTTTAATTAGGCAAGCCATCACAGCAGTAAAAATGTTGCGTAAAATGGTAAAAAATATATCAAAGCTTTGTTACGGTTGCCTGGGAGGTAAAATATGTCAGCACTCCCTGCAACATCTAGTTGTGTAACAAAAAAAGATGACAAGACCAATTTCCTGTTTCATTCTATTAAGTACATGTATGAAGCTTACTGCTATTAATGCATCGCCTCCAAGAGTAAGAAGTGCAGTTATGCAGGCCATAGACGGGTCAAAAACCATCCGTTTTAAAAAAACCCCGAAAAATCAGTCGTTCAATAGGCCAACGATAAAAAACAAAAAATCGGCCGATTTTCGTCCCATCTACAGCTGGCATTTAATTACTTCTGTCCCTGCAGAGAGCTCCGCTAATATATTTGACATGAAAAAGTATTGCAGTTGCAACATTGTATCTATTTGTATCCATTTCGGATACAGATGGTTTTATTCGGATACAAATAGATACAACGTTGCAACCGTAATACTTTTTCAAGTCAAATATAATAGCAGACTGGAATTCTTCTTCTTTTCTTCTTCTTTCTCCTTTTTCTACTTCTTCTTCTTTTTTCTTCTTCTTGCAGGTCACAGCTCTTGCGCAGATTTTTTTATCGGTAAATAGATCGGCCGATTTTTTTCCAACTTCACCGATACAAAACGTGCCAAAATCCTGAAAAAACGGCCAACCAATTAATCCACTAACAGTGCGAAAATCGGCCATTTTTTTTTCCGGCCGATTTTCGACCCATCTATGGCCTGCATTAGGGTCGGTCTGCACGTTTCTGTGCAATTCACATGCGGTGTAGTGTGGTGTGGTTGGAGCCCATTAATTTTGAATTGGCTGAATTGTACTGGACCGCACCAAAAGTAGTCTTGCAGTACTTTAACCACTTGCCTACCAGGCACTTATACCCCCTTCCTGACCAGGCCAATTTTCAGCTTTCAGCGCTGTCGCACTTTGAGTGACAATTGCGCGGTCATGCAACACTGTACCCATATGAAATTTTTATAAACAAAAAAAGAGCAAAATTTAAAAAATATATATATAATTCTATTATAAAATTTTGCAAACAAGTAATTTTTTTCCTTCACTGATGTGCGTTGATTAGGCAGCACTGATGGGCACTGATAGGCAGCACTGACAGGCACTGATGAGGTGACACTGATAGGCGGCACTGATATGCAACAATGATGGGCACTGATAGGCAGCACTGTTAGGCCTCACTGATATGCAACAATGATGGGCACTGATAGGCGGCACTGCTGGGTGACACTCCTGGGCAGCACTGATGGGCGGCACTGATGGGTGGCACTGCTGGGCACTAATGGGCACAGGTGGGTGGTACTGCTGGGCACTTGGGCACTGGGGCAGCACAGATGGGTGACACTGGTGGGTGGCACTGCTGGGCACCGATCATCAGGGCACTGATCATCAGTGCCCTGATGATTGGTGCTGATCCCTCCTCTGACAGCGTGAGGAAAGTGCAGCTGATAACGGCAACTGCATTTACCGGTGATCTGCTGTGTCATTGGACACGGCTGATCATGTGGTAAAAGGCCGCTGTGATTGGCATTTTACCACATTACTTGATCAGCTGTGACGGTAGGACACAGCGATCATGGAGATTGCCGGGGGCGCGCGGGAGGGTGCGTTTTGGGAGGGCGTCATATGATGCCCTCCCAGAACTGGCCAGCCGCAGTGAAGCCGTCATTCGTGTATCTGCGGTCAGCAAGTGGTTCAAAAAGCACTGCAACTGGATTGCATGGTACTTCTGTACCATGGGTTCAGGTGCACTCAAACACATTGCATTTGCAACATACTTTTGGGGTGTCATTAACTTAACATTGACACCCACTGCAGATCACACCTGCAGTGTGTTTTGTACGCAGTACAGGCAACACACATGTAATGTGGATTTCCTGCAACCATGTTCTGGTGTGAACGGGCACTTTTTGCTTATTTGAAACATTTCTAAATACACTATACTATATTGCCAAAAGTATTGGGATGCATGCCTTTACACGCACATGAACTTTAATGGCATCCCAGTCTTAGTCCATAGGGTTCAATATTGAGTTGGCCCACCCTTTGCAGCTATAATAGCTTCAGCTCTTCTGGGAAGGCTGTACACAAGGTTTAGGAGTGCATCTATGGGAATGTTTGACCATTCTTCCAGAATCGCATTTGTGAAGTTGGGCACTGATGTTGGATGTGAAGGTCCGGCTCGCAGTCTCCGCTCTTATTCATCCCAAAGGTGTTTTATCAGGTTGAGAAATGGACTGGTGTGCAGTCATATTGGAACAGGAAGGGGCCATATCCAAACTTTTCCCACAAAGTTGGGAGCATGAAATTGTCCAAAATGTCTTGGTATGCTGATACCTTAATAGTTCCCTTCACTGGAACTAAGGGGCCAAGCCCAACCCCTGAAAAACAACCCCACACCATAATCCCCCCTCCACCAAACTTTAAACTTGGCACAATGCAGTCAGGCAAGTAACGTTCTCCTGGTAACCACCAAACTCAGACATGTTTATCAGATTGCCAGACAGAGAATCGTGATTCATCATTCTAGAGAACACATCTCCACTGCTCTAGGTGTCCAGTGGTGGCGTGCTTTACACCACTGCATCTGACGCTTTGCATTGCACTTGGTGATGTAAGGCTTGGATGCAGCTGCTCAGCCATGAAAACTCATTTCATGAAGCTCTCTATGCACTGTTGTTGTGCTAATCTGAAGGCCACACCAAGGTTAGAGATCTTTAGCTATTGACTCTGCAGACAGTTGGCGACTTCTGCACATTTTACTTGTCATTTTATGTGGCCTTCCACTTGGTGGCTGAGTTGCTGTTGTTCCCAGTTGCTTCCACTTTGTTATAATACCACTAACAGTTGACCGTGGAATATTTATTAGAAAGGAAATGTCACGGATTGACTTATTGCACAGGTGGCAACCTATCATGGCACCACATTTGAATTCACTGAGCTCCTGAGAGCGACCCATTCTTTCACAAATGTATAAAGAAGCCGTCTGCATGCCTAGGTGCTTGTTTTATACACCTGTGGCCATGGAGGTGATTGGAACATCTGAATCCAATGATTTGAAGGGCGGGCCCAATACTTTTGGCAATATAGTGTATATTGGCACAGTACAACTGTGCAACACAGATTAATCTTGAACAGGACCCAATCCGGGTAATTGAAGTTTCTTATGCCATTATAAGTCACCAGTCACACTGCTGCAATTTAAAATCATGCAATTTTTGTGCAATTTCAGGTGCGATTTCTGAAGACTTCATTGCTACTTGTGAAGATTTTCAATGATTTCTTGCAATTTGCAGTGCAATTTCCATTATATTTATCTATGTGAAATCACAACAAAACTGCATAAAAAGTAATGCAAGAACTACTTTAGAAAACGTGCTGCAGCAAGTCGTAGATGTAAAGACACTGACATTCACATTCATTAGGTTTGATTTCAATTCACAAATCGCACCTGCAATCACACCAGTGTGATCGAGCACTAATGGTGAAGGAAACTGGCATTTGTGTGCATTCAGCAGCGTCCACCACAGGTAATTGTTGGCACTTCAGAGAGCCACAGTTAGCTATCGCTGCCATCGACCTTTCATTGAGCCCCAGTTCACACTGATGAGGTGTGGGAAATGCAGCAATTCCCGTGCGTTTCCCGCAGAGCAGTCGCACTGTGTTCTGCCATCTGCTGCAGGTGTCAATGGAAAGTTAACGACACCCCAAAAGCAGGTCACAAAAGCAGTGTGTTTGCCTGAACCAGATCACATAGGTATAAACATCCATGTGATGCAGTTCTAGTGTGAATAAAAAGAAAAAACTACCTGCACCTATTTGATGCAGATGCAGTGCGATTCTATCCATTTAAATAAATGGTCTCAAATCTCACCACACAGAATCGCATGTGATTTGCACAGGAATGCGGTGAGGTTCCTGTGCGATTCACACACGGTTACCAGTGTGAACCTATGCTGAAGCCAACAGGTGGCAAAAGAAGCAGATTCTTGCCAGTGTCATTAGCACTGAGGCTAGTCATCCTTGCAAATGTAGCCTAACACCCCAGTCACATCAGGTGCGACTTTGCATGCCATGCGACTTGAAAATCGTATAACAAGTCACACCCTATTGTCCACTGTTAGAGTGGTCATATCGATGTGGTTCAGACTTGGTCGGAGCCGCACCGATTTCTAAAGTAGTGCATGCACTACTTTTGTTGCGATTTGCATAGACATCTGTGTCAGATGTCTTACAAATCTCAAATGAAATCGGCAGGTCACCCAATTTTGAAATTGTGCGACTTCACTGTAGGTTGCACGATTTCAAGATCGGCTTTGATATGACCGGGGCTTACTGTCCAGTCACAGGCTTGGAGAGGGCAAGACCTGTAAGGGTTACAAAAAAAGTATCTTGGTCTCCTCACCTGCCAGACAGTGGGGAGTAGCAGAGCCATGTAAATTTAAAGACTAGACCTGGGAGGTAGACTGCACAGATCAAATCCTTTGACAAGTAGAAGAACTCTCTTATATTTATTTATGAACATGAAAAATGAAGTTTAAGACCTGATGCACACAGGACTTTTTTTTTTTTTTAACTCTCCTAGAAGCCAACAGAGTTTTTGCAGAAAAAACGCCTGATGCTTGTAAAAGTGTCTAACGCTTTTACAAGCATTTAGGCACGCCTGCAGGCATCAAGCACTTGGGCATTAATTTCATTGGCAAGCATGATATTAAATAACGCTGAATCGCTAAATGCACCGAGTGTTAATACACGTTTAGGCACGTTTACAAGAGTCAAGCATTTTTTCTGCCCAAACTCTGCGCTCCTGGATGCACTGGCAGTGGTTTTTCGCCTCTAAACTATCCTGCCACTAAATGCTGCTGAAAGTCTTTGTGTGCACATAGGCTAACATGCAGGGGAGTTTAGATATAGGAAAAAAAAATGCCAGACGTCCCTAGGAGCAGCTGCAAAAATGTCCTGTGTGCATGAGGCCTAAATATTAATGGTAGAAAATATAAATAAAAATCAAATCAGCAGTAAGATCATAGCCAGAAAGGAAGAGGAGCAATGAGTTATGTAGGGATAGGGCAGTGATGGTGAAACTTTTAGAGACCGAGTGCTCAAACTGCAACCCAAAACCCACTTATTTATCAAAAGTGCCAACACTGCAATTAAACCTGAATTCTGAGGGTTTAGTTTAGAAAAAAAATACTCGTACATTAACATCTTTTGTCTTAAAAGAAAAACACTATAACAGAGCTTTGTTCCACAATGTTCCACTGACCACCAGCACAAGGGTGCAAAGCTCCACTGACCAGCAGCACAGAGGGGCAAAGTTCCACTGACCAGCAGCACAGAGGGCAATGTTCCACTGACCACCAGCACAGAGGGGCAATGTTCCACTGATCACCAGCACAGAGGGGCAATGTTCCACTGACCAACAGCACAAGGGTGCCAAGCTCCACTGACCACCAGCACAGAAGGGCAAAGTTCCACTGACCACCAGCACAAGGCAATATTCCACTGACCACCAGCACAAGGGGGCAAAGTTCCCCTGACCACCAACACAGAGGGACAATGTTCCACTGATCACCAGCACAAAAGGGCAGTGTTCTACTGACCACCAGCTTGCTCTGAAAAAGGTATCTGAGTGCATTTCCTACCTTGTGGGCCTGTGGAGGCTTCTGCTAAAATCACAGTCCAGTGATCCCAGCCAAGGATATATATATATATATATATATATATATATATATATATATATATATATACACATATATAGAGCAAGTCCCCGACTTACGAACGTGTTTCGTTCCAGGAGAACGTTCATAAATTGTTCGTAAGTCCGACAAAGTGAGTCTTATACACCTTTGACACAAATATACAATGTAAAGCATAAGAAAAACAAACACACACAAAAATACTGTGAATACACATTTTTTACTTTTACTCTTTCCTTAAAATGGTGGTACGGTACAGTACAACTGTAAATAAACTATTTTTGCTTTTACAGTTACTGCACCTTAAAATGGTGGTACAGTACCGTACAGTACCACAACTGGCATATAGTGGAAGAGTTACCAACTGGAGGAGGGAGGTTAGGTGGGAAATGGTGGAGCTGAAGGATCATCAGCAATAGGGCAAGATGGAATGTGGCCCACACCTGATGTTGACGGAGCTGAAGGATCATCAGCAATAGGAGTTGGAGGGCAAGATGGAATTTGGCCCACACCTGATGTTGGCGGAGCTGAAAGATCATCAACAATAGGAGATGAAGGGGAAGATGGAATTTGGCCCATACCTGATGTTGATGGAGCAGAAGGATTATCAACAATAGGAGATGGAGGGCAAGATGGAATTTCACTCACATCTGATGTTGATGACACAGGTTTTTTGATGGATTCCATTCTGTCTATCCTCTGGAAAAAATTATCCAGTGATGTCTGAGTAGTAGCTATTTTTTCTCATCTTAGATGACTCTGTAGCACTGGATGGCATTCTGAATGGCTGCTGCAACCTTTGTGTATCGTTCTACGTTGGAGTCCTGTGCCTCTTCAAGTAAAGAGAATCCTCTTGCCATTCCCTGTGTTGTGAATCTCTTTGGTTCTTCAGTTACATCTTGCTCTTGGCTCTCTTCGTCTTTTTGCTGGGCCTCTGATTCCATAAGGTCCTCATTAGTAAGCTCCTCATGTTGCACAGCAAGGAGTTCAATGAAGTTGTCCTCTTGCAGATCTAGCTCTGGCTTCATGCTAAGGGTGATTAAATTGTTGAAGACCTCTTTGGACTCCTTACCCATCTTCTCAAGTCCATGAACTTCATGAACAAACTGCAGGGAAAGGTTCTTACAAACCCCATTCATGTTGACAGCCGAAACCTCACATCAAGCAAAGTTGATGTTTTTTCATCTCCGTGTAGATGTTATAGTCCTTCCAAAATTGTCACAAGGTTGTTCCTGTTTCATCAATAGCCTTCACTGCCTGACAAAAAGTGTGACATAAATAATATTTCTTGAAAGTGGCAATAACTACTTGGTCCATAGGTTGGATGAGCTCCGTAGTATTCAGTGGCAGATGCACTACTTTGACGTTGAGATGAAAGTCATCCATGAAATGGGGGTGACCTGGTGCATTGTCAAGCAGCAAAAGAATGTTAAATGGGATATCTTTCTCCAAACAATATTTCTCTATCTCTGGGATAGAGTGGTGGAAAAAAACAGTCCTGGAAAACGGCCTGTGTAACCCAGGCTTTGGAATACTCTTCCACACAACAGGTAGAGAGCCCTTGGCTATGTTTTTGAGGGCTCTTGGGATCTCTGAATGGTATACTAAGAGAGGCTTTAGTTTCATTTCACCGGAAGCATTGCCACCAAACAACAAGTCTGTTCTTTGCTGCTTTGAAGCCTGGCATCACCTTTTCCTCTTTACTGATGTACTTTGTTCTGGCATCCTCTTCCAGTACAGTCCTGTCTCATCAACGTTAAAAACCTGTAGGGGTAAATAAGCACCTTTATTTCTGTAAGTGTTGCTGGAAATTCTTGGGCAGCTATGGTATCTGCACTCGCAGCCTCACCAGTTTTACGTTGTGAAGGTTGACTCTAGCCCTGAATCTGTTTAACCATCCATGGCTGGCAGTAAAAAATGCACACTGTTTTCTTGAATAAGCATTAAGCTTAGTGGGACTCGAAGCTGATGCTGATCCTGCATCCACACACTAAGAAGTTTCTCCATCTCCTCTATCACTTTACCATGCTTTTTGGATATTATTGTTGACTTCATAGGCACAGCAGACTTCACATGTTTCATGATCTTGGCCTTGTTCTTTAGAATTGTGCCAGTGGTTGAACGATTCATGTTATAAGAACAAGCGATGTCTACCATCTTTTTGCCTTGGTCCAATTTCTCAATTATTTTCACTTCTGTTTCCATGGTTATTGCTTTGTGCTTCCTATCAGTTCCCTCCACTGCTTTTCCTCTTGCTTCAGACATCCTGGGCTCTGTACAGTACAATATCGCA